GATCTCCAATGTAGAGGTGCGGGGAGATAGAGAGAGCTTTTACAAGCGTTTGGGTCAAGGGACACCACACTTATGAACGAATTAAGGCTTTTTTGTTGTTCTGTTTTGGACAAAGGCGCTTGTTATCAAGGGAGTGGGATGTATAGTTACCAACAATAGTTAGAGCCCCGTTTTTCTCTCTCCCCTCCTCCTCTTCTGTCTGCCACATGCCACAGGATAAGGCAGGAAAAGAGCTCTCAACTAGATGCAGCTCCTCTAGACTTCTAACTTCCACAGCTATGAGAAATAAATCTCTACTGGATATGGCCATTAACACCTGTAATAATCCCAGCATTTGGGAGGCTGAGGTAGGATGATCATTGCAAATGTTGATGTCAGCCTGGGCTCCATATACGGTTCCAGACTAACCTGGGTTACGTAAGATCCTTTCTCAAAAACAAAGCGTGGGCATGGCGGTGCACTCAATAAACCCCATTTGTGCGCCTTTCCCCACCCTCCAAAAGGCAGGGTGTTGCAGTTCATGCTGTAATTCTGCTGTGGCCAGGCGTTTAAGACTACTGTAGTCTACAGAGGCCATTTCTAAAATAAACAAATCACCTATCTTTGTTACTTTTGTTTGTAGCCAGGGTCTCACTATGTAGCACTGACTGGCCCAGCACAGATATATGCCTACCTCTGCCTCCAGAAAGAACACACTTTCTTTTTTTTCCCATTTATTTATTTATTTATTTATTATGTATACAATATTCTGTCTGTGTTTATGCCTTCAGGCCAGAAGAGGGCACCAGACCCCATTACAGATGGTTGTGAGCTACCATGTGGTTGCTGGGAATTGAACTCAGGACCTTTGGAAGAGCAGGCAATGCTCTTAACCTCTGAGCCATCTCTCCAGCCCCAAGAACACACTTTCTAATTTTTTCCAAACACCCACCAATGGAGAGACCAAGTATTCAAACCTATAAGCCTATGGAGGTCATTCTAATTTAAACCACCACACACATGAAGAATTTTATATTATAAATTATCCAGTCATTTTGTTTTTAGCAAAATAGACTACGTCACATACTAAGTCTTAACTGTGACAGATACTGAGATTGTTAAAATCACACCACTGTCATCACAATGCTCAGTCTAAGGAGGGCAGATAAATGGTAACCTGGGTTATACAAAGATCTCCAAAAATCAAAAATTGCAAACATCAAGGGCATAACTATGGACTACATAAAGAGGAATTAAGATTATGAAATGAAGCCAGAGTAAAATTTTAAAATAATTTAAATTTCGTCAGGAGACTCAAACAATGTAAATTACTGCTGAGAAGTTCCACTAAGCGCTTTTTGTTTTCCAAGATACACTTTCACACTACAGAATGTTTTCTAACTGCCATTTAATAGCCTTAACACAAAAAAGTGTGCTGCAGCCGGGTGGTGGTGGCGCACGCCTTTAATCCCACCACTCGGGAGGCAGAGGCAGGCGGATCTCTGTGAGTTCGAGACCAGCCTGGTCTACAGAGCTAGTTCCAGGACAGGCTCCAAAGCCACAGAGAAACCCTGTCTCGAAAAAACCAAAAAAAAAAAAAAAAAAAAAAAAAACCGCTGTAGTCCTACCTTGAACACGGAGAGATTCCCCAGAGGCAGGAGCCTGTTCTTGCCATTACTGAAAAAGGACTAAAGCTGGGCAGTGGTGGCCTACACCTTTAATCCGAGCACTCGGGAGGCAGAGACAGATGGACCTCTGTGAGTTCCAGACCAGCCTGGGCTACAAATTGACTTCCAGGACAGGCAGGGCTGTTGCACAGAGAAACCCTGTCTCAAAAGCCAAACAAAAAAGAAATTACTATGCTATCTGAAGCGCTACAAAAGGGAAAGAAACTAGATATGGGTAAGCTGAGAAAGAACATACAGCACAGTAAGTAATAAAAATGTGTGCATCAGGGCCATCCACGGACATGTTCAGGTCATTGTCCTCCTTTACTGCAGTTCTTTAAAAATTGTTTAATATTCTGACATAAAGTTACCAAAGTATTAAATATTATAGGTCAATAGTCATTCATGTTTGTTATACATATAGTCAGATTAATTAGGTTCTTTAGAGGCATAGAGATTGTATTCTGCATAGATAGGTAATGTTCAACCATTTCAAGGATCTGTAAAACATGGCATTTAAATAACTTAGGGTGGGCTGGAGAGATGGCTCAGAGGTTAAGAGCACTGACTGCTCTTCCGGAGGTCCTGAGTTCAATTCCCAGCAACCACATGGTGGCTCACGGCCATCTGTAATAGGAGCTGGTGCCCTCTTCTGGCCTGCGGGCATACATGGAGGATGATCACTGTGTACATAATAAATAAATAAATCTTTAAAAAAAAAAAACAAAAAACTTAGGGTTCTGTTGACGTGAGACACAACTGTTCCTGACAGCACCAATCTATCCCGAAAAAGTGGTGAACACCAAAGACACTCCACTTGGAGTTTGTTTTCTTCTTGGCACAATTGGCCTTTGGGCAAGGAACTGCCCATGCCTCAACCACTGACAAAGTCTATGATGTCCGGACTAAATAAGCAGGACACAAGAAAAAAGACTGCCAAACCTTGCCAAGACAGGGTAAGAAGTTCTAAAAATTTTTCCTGCCTCTAAAAATGGTCTGTAAGTTATGCTAGGCCTTAGCCAAAGTTGGTTGCTTCAACACTGCAAATGAAACTTTGGGTGATTGCTCAGGTAGCCAGTTGTCTCTGTCATATACTGCTCCCTTTGGAAGCTGCTTGATTGCACTTCCTGCCTACTCAAGTAATATAATCTCCCTTCTCAGGCCTTTGATGGGGTTGAAGATTAGATAGTCATGGTCACATTCCTCTTATGATCTAGGCATTTCCAGCGCAAGACTTAGACCCGTTAGAATAGAATGTTTAATAAAACATTTGTCATGTGTTCCTTGATTAATATTGCTCATAATGGTTGTAATCTAATTTTAAACTTGATATTTGTTCCTAGTATATATTATAGATTTGTATTGGGTTTGGAACTCTTTTATTTAGACAAAAGGAGAAGGTGATGGGGACCCCTGACAGTCAATGATCTTTAAGAGGTTGGACCAGGTTAGGACACAACCTTCTGGTTACCCAGAAAAAAAAAACAGGCCAGTCCAGGGTTCTTGCTTTCTGGTTCCCTCGCTACACAGCTGAGGTTGGCTTTCTCATTTCTGTTTTGTGAGTTTGCCCCTTATAATAAAGAAAATATAGGGGCTGGAGAGATGGCTCAGTGGTTAAGAGCACAGACTGCTCTTCCAGAGGACCCGGGTTCAATTCCCAGCACCCACATGGCAGCTCACAACTGTCTGAAGATCAGTTCCAGGGGATCTGACACTTCACACCAATGCACATAAAATAAAGTTAAATAAACCATAAAAATATTAAAAAAATAAAGAAAATATAATTAAAATATTTTAAAGTTAGCCTGGTATCCTTTGACCCGCATCTTCTCCCATCAACAAAATGGCACGTATGTTAAGCACAGTTAAAACTGTTAATATATTTCCTTGATATTTTGCCTGAAAAAAAAAAAGGAAAGAAAACCTGTTAATATATTGAAACTACTGGTGCTGAGATCTGACCCTATACAGGCGGGTTGCAGCTTGTGGAAGAGGATGACTATGAATGTATGAGCCTTTTACTTCTACCTCCTTAGTGCTTGAACTATAGTTGTGCACGCCTTACACCCAACTTCATTATAACTTATGACTTAGAGCTCACGTTGTTGGAGGGATGGCTCAGTGGTTAACAGCACTTGTTGCTCTTGTAAAGGACCAGGGTTCAAGTGCCAGAACCCACATGTGGTGTGTCACATGCAAATATTCTTTAACTGTAGTTCTCGAGTATCTGATGCCCTCTTCTGACTTCCTTAGGTGCATCTGGTGCACATGCATGTAAACAAAACACTTAGACACACAGAATTGGAAAGTTAGAACTCAAAAAAAAAAAAAGTTAGGACACATCTTTTTACTTATCGTGATGGTTAATATTACATTTAGACTTACTGTGCTTGAGAGACCAGAAAGCAAAAAATGCCTCATATGTGTGTGTATGTATGTGTGTGTGTGTGTGTGTGTATGTGTGTGTGTGTGTAATGCCTAGTGTCACCGGTAATTCTGTAGTCTCAGGACATGGGAAGCTAAGGTGAGAGAATCCCCCATTTTAACACAGCACCTGAGCTACATAATAAGAAAAGAAAAGGATTAATAGCAGAATATTAAATTAAGTATTTGCGGAATACTTCTTCAGTGTTGATTTGAACCCGGTAAATTGAACATGCTAGGCAAATGTTCTACTACCAACCCATAGCCTACTCCATTCCCCCTTTAAGATTCCAGTCTTAATCAGGTACTCTGTATGTAGACCATGTTGGCCTCAAACTTGAGGCAATCTTCCTCACCTCTGCCTTCCAAATGTTTACAATCCAGAAACTGGACAAATCAGTAAACATGTCACTCAGAACTGCTTTCTTTAAAACTGTATGTATGTGTGTATACAGTGTTCTGTGCCTATAGGCATGAGTCATGTGATTGCTGGGAATTGAACAGAGAACCTCTGGAAGAAGACAGTGCTCTTAGACAACACTGTGAAAACAGCACACCTAAATTATCAAAACAGCTTATCCGACCAATTTCCTGCTGGGTATAGGAAAACTCAAAAGCAGTTAGAGCCGCCTTTAATCCCAGCACTTGGGAGGCAGAGGCAGGCGGATCTCTGTGAGTTCGAGACCAGCCTGAGCTACAAGAGCTACAGGACAGGCTCCAAAACCACAGAGAAACCCTGTCTCAAAAAACAAAATAAAACAACAAAAAACCCTTTTGGGTGATACTTTCGACCAACAATCTGGGTATACAACTTTAAATTAAACTAGACAACTAACAGAATAGCAGCAGAAAATAACTGACCTAACTGTCCCAAGCTAACACTTAATAAAAGGGAAGGAACATTTAATAAGAATCTAACTTTGAGGTACAATGTCAGGGGAGAGCGCGAACGCAGTCCCCCACTACCACAAATTATGCAGTCGAGTTTCCCGCATTTGGGGAAATCGCAGGGGTCAGCACATCCGGAGTGCAATGGATAAGCCTCGCCCTGGGAAAACCACCTTCGTGATCATGGTATCTCCCCTGCCAGGTAAGTATGAGTTGCCAGAGCCATGAAGCCTCAACAGCCTGGTGTGCGTAGCATTTCAAAGATACGGTGCAAACTTAAGCACTTATTAAAAAGTTCTATATCGTTATGTGTTGTGGTTTCCAACATTGAAAAACTCTTAAGAGGGTTGGCGGTCTTGTAATTTTCCCAAAACTACATTCCAAAAAATCAGAACTGTGGAAGTAGCAGCTTCTCCCAGTAGGCTCCTGAACTCTCTATCTACATAGCACCGCCTCCACAGTGACTCACTTCCGACGTCAGAATCCCGACATCGGAAGCCCGCCTCCTTGTCAGCGAGAATACCAAAGAGCCTATTAGGTGGTAGTTTGCTGTGCCCTTTGCTTTGCAGCCTCCTAGAACACTGTAGGAATTTTCTCTCATAAGCATAGGAATCGAATGCATAGCTTTTAGTGTGAATCAAGATTAAGAGTAACAACAAAAACAGCTCCAATGACAGCAGCACGCAGGGACCATTCGTTCCTTTACATATTACAACAAATTTAATCTCTGCAAGTTATAAGGCAGTTACTTCTATCATCCCCATCTTTACAGACATGAAAATGGGTTCACAATGGTTAGCTTTCATTTTTTGGGGGGTGGGGGGCAGGGAATGGTTTGAGACAGGGTTTTTCGGTGTAACAGTCCTAGCTGTCCTGAAACTCCCTCTGTAGACCAAGCTGGCCTCAAATTCACAGAGATCTGGCTGCAAATAGTGTTTATTCATTATTTAATCTAAACTAATAAATTAAATACAATTAAATAATTAAATATAATTAAAATAAATGTTAAGAAAAAATGAGAATATGCTCGTTGTAGACAAAGAGAACTATGTCTTACCTACACACTGCACCCTGCTCTTAAAGATGAGGAGGGGATCTGTTTACAGGCTATTGGCTCAGAGAAGACCAGCAGGGCATGACAGAAAAGGACTCTGGACTCCACTCTACAGTTTACATTGGCTGCCAAGGTTTCCCTGGAGGAGAATGAGGACTCTGTTTATAGCACCGGAAACAGTTTGGACGGAGAAGTAGACATCTATCAGAGATCAGCCACAGAAAAGGGGGACCTATAGCATAGGCTCCTGGATTTAGAAGTATTCCGCAAATACTTAATTTAATATTCTGCTATTAATCCTTTTCTTTTTTAATATTTATTTATTTATTATGTACACAATATTCTGTCTGTATGCCTGAAGGCCAGAAGAGGGCGCCAGACCTCTTTACAGATGGTTGAGAGCCACCATGTGGTTGCTGGGAATTGAACTCAGGACCTTTGGAAGAGCAGGCAATGCTCTTAACCACTGAGCCATCTCTCCAGCCCCTCCTTTTCTTTTCTTATTATGTAGCTCAGGTGCTGTGTTAAAATGGGGGATTCTCTCACCTTAGCTTCCCAAGTCCTGGGACTACAGAATTACCGGTGACACTAGGCATTACACACACACACACAGAGACACACACACACACACATGAGGCATTTTTTGCTTTCTGGTCTCTCAAGCACAGTAAGTCTAAATGTAATATTAACCAATACGATACATGACTATTTTCTTTTAAAAACCTTGACTGAGGGGTTTCTAGCTCCCGTGTCAGGATACAACCACATGTAGCTCCAGATCCAGGAACCCAACATGCTTGTGGCTTCTGTGGGCATCTATACTCACATGTGCACATTCTCATACACAGACTCTCACATATACACAGTTAATCTTAAAAATCCAAACCAATAATGTTATTATTATTACACACCAACTGGAATGAATACAATCCATAAAAGTGGGGTTTGGAATTTAAATCAGTGGTAGAATGCATATCTAGTACTCAGAGGGTTGTGGATTTGATCCCCAACACTACACACATAAAAATATCTGCCAATATTAAATGCTGGCAGGTTAGATATGTGGCCTACTGCTTTAATCCCCGTACCTGGGAGGCAGAGGCAAGACCAGACTGGTCTATAAATCAAGTTCCAGGCCAGTCAGGGCTAATGAGACCTGTATCACAATAAACAAATGCTGGCAAGGATGTAGAGAAACAGAACCTTATGTTCTGCTGATGAGAATGTAGAACAGCAGTCATTTGAAAAAACAGTTCAATAGCTGCTGAAAAAGTTGTCATGTACTTCCAAATGATGTGGTCACTCCATTTCTACATATCTTCTCAAGAGAAATTCCGAATGTATGTTTACGGAATGACATATATGCAAACTAAGCTTTTGTTTTGTTTTGTTTTGTTTTTCGAGACAGGGTTTCTCTGTGGCTTTGGAGCCTGTCCTGGAACTAGCTCTGTAGACCAGGCTGGTCTCGAACTCACAGAGATCCGCCTGCCTCTGCCTCTGCCTCCCGAGTGCTGGGATTAAAGGCGTGTGCCACCATCGCCCAGTCTCACTTAGTATATTTTGAGGTTCATGCACGATGTCACCGGTGTTGCAAGTTCCTTTTTTTAGACAAGAGTTTTACTATGTAGTTGTATATATATATACACAAAGTGAAAGGATCTGTATAGACTACAAACTACATGATGATTATGTTTTAAATAAAATATTAGGAAAGGCAGAAATACTAACAGAGTGGAAATCAATTGTTTTCTGTAGCTGGGTTTGGGACATGAAAACTAGTGTGCCAATACTCATGGGGGAATTCTTTGATGGTCATGAGAATATTCTAACAGTAGCCAAGTATAGTTCAAGCCTATATATAATTTTAGCTATTCAGGAAGCTGAGGCAGGAGAATTCCAGGTCTAAGCCCTGCCTGGGTTACAGTGTGAATTGAAGCCCAGCCCCCAAACCACAACACATAATCTAAAACTGAGCTGTTCTGGATGACTAGGCAATTATATAAACACACCAAAGTCACCGAACGGTACAATAGGTAGGGGTTGAGCATATTTCTGTAGCAGAGCGGTTTCTTTTCTTTTTTTTTTTTTTCTCAAACAATTTTTTTTTTTTCAAAACAGGGCTTCTCTGTATGGCCCTGGCTGTCCTGGAACTCACTCTGTAGACCAGGCTGGCCTTGAACTGGCAGAGATCCATTTGCCTCTGTCTCCTGAGTGCTGGCATTAAAGGCATGCACAAACGATACCCGGCTTTGAACCAATTGCTTAACATTCATAAAGCACCGGGTTTGATTACCAACACTGCAAAAAATAAAAATAAAATACATACAACATCCCTAAACACAAACACACACCTATAATCCCAGCTCTTGAAAGGCTAAGGCAAGAGGATCAAGAAGTCAGGGTCATTCTCTACTACAAAGTAAGTTCAAGGTTAGTCTAGGCTATGTGAGATCTTGTATCTAAATAAAAACAGGGAACACTGAGATAGCTCAGCCAATAAAGGTGCCTGTCACCAAGTCTAATGATATGAGTTTGATTCCTGAAACCCACATGGTGGAAGAGAACCGATTTCTGAAAGATGCCTTATGATCTCCACGTGTGCATCATGACACATATACAATAATTATACATATGAAATTTTATTTCTTCGGTTCATTTATTTTATGTGTATGAGTGTTTCGCCTACATGTATATATGTATGCCTTGTATCTGAAGAGGCCAGAGGAGGATGTCAGATTCCCCTGGAACTATAGTTAGAGATGATTGGGAGACACCATTTAGGTGTTGGGAACCAAATATGGGTCCTGAGAGAGCAGCAAGTTCTCTTAACTGCTAAGCTATCTCTCCAGGCCCAATTAAATTTTTTCTTTCCATCTCTTTATCTGTATCTACCTATCCATCTATACATCTATTTATCCATCCATCCACCTGCTACCCATGCATCTAACTAATGTGTATATATATGATCTCCACGTGTGCATCATGACACATATACAATAATTATACATATGAAATTTTATTTTTTCGGTTCATTTATTTTATGTGTATAAGTGTTTCACCTACATATATATATGTATGCCTTGTGCATACATGTATATATGTCTGTGCATTAGAGGTACAGATGGTTGTGAGCAGCCTTGACGGGGCTGGGAATTTGGGTCCTCTGGAAGAGGAGCCAGTGCCCTTGACCATTAAGCTATCTTTAAAAAAAATATTATATATACAGCATTCTGCCTGCATGTGTACCTGCAGGCCAGAAGAGGGCACCAGATCTCATTAGAGATAGTTGTGAGTCACCATGTGGTTGCTGGGAATTGAACTCAGGACCTCTGGAAGAGCAGTCAGTGCTCTTAACCTCCAAGCCATCTCTCCAGCTCCCTTCTTTTTGTAAAAAAAATATTTATTATATCATTAAGCTATCTTTATAGCCCCTGTCCTACATTTCTATCTTCCCTGTTTTAACAATAACTAGGCCAGGCACAATGGCTCACTCTTTTAATCTCAGCACTTTGAAGAAAGAGGCAGACAGATTTTCTCTGTGAGTTCAAGGCCAACCTTGTCTACAAATCCTGGTTAGCCAGGGCTACAAAGTGGGACCCTGTCTCAAAATAACAATAAAAACCAACACCTAATAAACAGAAAACATCCCTACAACTCCCAAACATTGGCACTTTGGCCTATGGCCTCTCCAGTCATGTGCAACCACGTGTGCATACACACATGTGTACCAAAGAAACTATGTTCTGTCTTGTCTGAGAACACAGTTCAGTAGGCGGAATGTTTGCTTGCCTAGCATGCCATGGGTTTGCTCTCCAGTGCTGTGTATAGTAGTGGCTACTTATAATCTCAGAACTCAGTACTCAAAGAGGCCATTACTGACTATATATTGTGTGAGGCCACCCTCTTCTAAATGAGACCTGTCTCAAAACAACAAAGAGTATTTCCCTCAGGTCTTTGCTTTAGTGCTCTAGGGAAGACATCCCTAACCGCAGGCAACTTCACGCCAGTGGGGTGATTGTGTTGGAATCCTCCAGCGTTCTTACACGTCGTCTCCTCCACCATTCTCATCTCTTTTATCTCCCAATCCCCACCACTATCTTCTCCATTATCCATGCCATGAACCAAGTAGCGCTACGATGGTCAAAGGATCATCTTTCCTTTAATCCCAGCACTCGGGAGGCAGATGCAGGCGGATCTCTGGGAGTTCGAGGCCAGCCTGGTCTACAAGAGCTAGTTCGGGGACGGGCACCAAAGCTACAGAGAAACCCTGTCTCGAAAAACAAAACAAAACAAAAAAAGATCATCTTTAATGGGCACTCCTAACATCTGTACCAGCATTAGAACGGCCAATAAACCAAGCAAACTTCTCATGCTGCTTATTCCCTCTGGTTTTATTGTTTGAGTATTTCAAAGTCCTTCTGTATATGTGATGCTTTTATTGGTTAATGAATAAAGAATCTGCTTTAGCCTGTGATAGGGTAGAATAGAAATAGGTGGGGAAAACTAAACTAAATGCTGAGAGAAAGTAGGCGTAATCAATGAGAAGCCATGTAGCTGCCACAGGAGACAGACAGACAGATGCCTCCACCAGAGTTTGCCAAAACTTTGCCGGTAGGCCATGACCTTGGGGTGATGCACAAATTAATTGAGATGGTTTAATTTCGGATGTATAGCTAGCAATACACTTAAGCTTTTGGCCAAACAGTATTGCAAATAAAATAGTTTCTGTGTGGTTATTCTGTGTCTAAGTGGTGGGAACAAACAAGCAGCCTCCAACAACAGAAGATGGGTTACAGGGTCTTACTATGTAGCTCTGGACTGTCCTAGAATTTACTACATAGACCAAGCTGGCCTCAAACTCAAAGATCCTGTCCCTGTGCCCTCAGAGCACCAGGATTAAAGGCATGAGCCACCACCACCTGGCTTCACATATACAGATTCTAAAAACTATAATGTGAACCAGGCAGTGGTGGCACACACTTTTAATCCACTTGGGAGGTTGTAGAGAGCTGCTGTGGGACTATAGAGCAGGTGACAATTAGTGTTTAACAAGCCAACCCATCAGATGCATGATTCCGTGGTGGGGAGCCCCACCTGGAAAAGTCATGGGGTCCCTGCCTGTGGAAACCAGTTGTTCTTGTAATTTCTCTTATGAGTCACTTCATTTCTCCTTAAGTAAGCCGGGTGGTGGTGGCGGTCCACGCCTTTCACTTGGGAGTTGTTGCCCATAGGAAGGGTACAAAAGGGGAGGGTTCTCTATGCCTGTATCCTACAATTTAGGAGGTTTATTTTACTGAATTTTGTTTTCCAAGACAGGGTTTCTCTGTGTTGCCCTGGCTGTCCTGGAACTCGCTCTGGAGACCAGGCTGACCTGGACCTCAGAGATCCACCTGCCTCTGCCTCCCAAGTGAAAGGCGTGCGCCACCACCGCCCGGCCTAGGAGGTTTATTTTAATGTAGAGTACGAGACACTTCATCACACCCCCTCTATACCTCCTAGGCAAAGGACCTCATAAATCACCTTCCAAACTACCAATCTCCCCAAAAGTTCTCTTTTGGAAGCGGTCACTTCCGCTGCTACTTAAGGAGTCCAGTCCCTCCCTCTCAGGACACCAGAGGCCCAGGCTAGACTACGAGACAAGCTGTATTTCTTACTTTTCCAGCTACTTCTTCATACGCTAGGCAGGACAGCGGACATTAAAGCTCTCAGAAACCGCCACGCTTCCGAGAGAACGCCCTGGTCCTCAACCAACGGAAGGTGTGCGTGGGCACGAGGGTGCGTGGGTGCGTGGGCACGCACTAGAGCGTCAACGGCTCCCCACTAACAGCCCCCGCAGGGGGGGGGGCTGTCCCACAATCCCTCGCGAGGGCCCAGCTAGGAAGAAGAGCCAAGGGACCTCTATGGCTGTGGTGCGGGCATACAAGAAGCTTTTGGCAACAGTGCTACAAGAGCGAGTTCCGGGACAGACTCCAAAGCTACAGAGAAACCCCGTCTTGAAAAACCAAAAGCAAAACAAAGCAAAAAAGTGCTCTGAATTTTCACAGCAAGAAATTGACCAGTATTCAACTGCTGCTGCTGCTACTTTTTTTTTTTTTTTTTTTTTTTGGTTTTTTGAGACAGGGTTTCTCTGTGGAGCCTGTCCTGGAACTAGCTTTGTAGACCAGGCTGGTCACGAACTCACAAGAGATCCGCCTGCCTCTGCCTCCCGCCTGGGATTAAAGGCATGCGCCACCATTGCCCGGCTGCTGCTACTTTTTTTTTTTCCAGACAGGGTTTCTCTGTGTCGCTTTGTCGCCTGCCTTGGAACTAGCTCTTGTAGACCAGGCTGGCCTCGAACTCACAGAGATCCGCCTGCCTCTGCCTCCCGAGTGCTGGGATTAAAGGCGTGCACCACCACTGCCCCTCTGGGAGATGATTTCTATTAAGAAACTCAGACCTATGAAACAGGCCAGGGCGAGGAGGGGAAACACGGCATGGTGATCCGGGACCACTGGGCCTGATCACCATCCTCACGTCTCCAGCTCGCTTTTTTCCTGTCAAGCCATACCCTTGGTAAGGGGACCCCACAAAGTGCTTCAGAGGAGTCCCAGAGGAAAACACATGAGCACTTGGGGGATGTCCCCTACAGCAGGGCCTCGTAAGGAATACCCCAAACAGTTTTTTCAGAGCTCTTCAGATTACATTTAAGTGTGTACATTAACTGTGCATCCTTAATGTACACCAAAGTAAAGCTGGCGTCATCCACTGTGCCACCAATACTGTGCCCAGCTCTTTGCTGTTCACCAAAGAGGACAGAATGTAATGTTTTGTTTAAGTGTTTGGTGATGCTTTGCAATTAGCTTTGCAAACGCTAGTTAAGCCCTCTACTTAAAATTAGAGCCACACCCCTAGTCTAATTTTTAAGTTTTAGTAGCAGTAATGTTGCTAACAGGACAGTAACTGAGAGGTGGAGCACTAACTAGCCGCTCGTGCCTAAGACCCTGGGCTTGATCAGCCATTAAATAAACCTTGAAGTTAATGTGCTAATTCATCACCGAGGTAGACTTTTGTCTGATTGTTTTTGAGACAAGGCTTCTCTGTGTAGTCCTGGCTATCCTGGAACTTGCTAGTGCTGAGATTAGAGGTGTGAGCCACCACATTCAGCTCTGTGTTAGACTTTTAAATCTCTAATGTCAGTTCTCCCCACCCCCCGATTTTATTTTCAGAAGTTGGGATATCCAAAGAGGAAGCTTTAGAAACTCTACAGATCCTAAGAAGAGAATGTCTCGCAGATAAACCAAGATGTGCTGGTACTTCTGTGACAGTCAAGAAGTGCACAGCCCTGGAACTTCTTGAACAGGAACACACCCAGGGCTTCATAATCACCTTCTGTTCAGCCCTAGATAACATTCTCGGGGGTGGAATACCCCTAACGAAAACGACAGAAGTTTGTGGTGTACCAGGTGTTGGGAAAACACAATTATGGTAAAATAAGAACGTTCTCTTCTTAAGTATGGACTTAGTCTTTTATGTAACTAATAGAGTATTGTTCTGTGAGTTTGTAGTCAGAATACCAAAAAGTGTGTGTTACTACTTCCTGCAACAAACCATCAGCTTACCGTTCATATTATCTCAGGCACCATCTTAGTGAAGGGATAGAGCAGCTTTGATGTCAGAAATGTTTCTTTTATAATACAATATAATCACTACAGTAAGCAGATACTCTCCTAATAGTTAGCTTCTGAGATATATTTGTCAGATGTTTTAAAGTTGATTTATATATGATAAAGAATCCTGAACCAGGCTTGGTAACATACTCCTATAATTTCATCACTCAGGATACTGAAGCAGGATTGCTATGAGTTGGAAGACAGTCTGAACTATATAACAATTGTTAGACCAGCCAGGGATATATACTAAGACCTGGTGTCAACAACAAAAAAAAGTATGTTGAGCTGGAGAGATGGTTCAGTGGTTAAGAGCATTGACTGCTTTTCCAAAGGTCTTGAGTTCAGTTCCTAGCAACCGCATGGTGGCTCACAAACATGCAGACAGAACACTATATATATATCAAATAAATCTTTTTTTTTGATTTGTTTTTCAAGACAGGGTTTATCTGTGTAGCCTTGACTGTCCTGGACTAGGCTGGCCTCAAACTTACAGAGATCTGCCTGTCTCTGCCTCCCAAGTGCTGGAACTAAAGGCATACACCACCACCACCTGGCTCAAATAAATAAATCTTTAAAAAAAAAGTATGTCTACCTGGGTGTAGTGACACACTCCTGTAAATATAGCAGTAAGGCTGGAGATTGAGATAGAAGGATTGAGAGTTGAATCAATCAGCCTGGGCTACATTTCCAGAACCTAACTCAGAAAAAGGGAGAAAATATAAACCAATTCCTAGAACCTAAAAACCACAAAGAGTTACTTAATGGTAATTTTGTGTAATACCTGCACTATAATCTAGGCATCTATGGTTTCATATGTATTTGGAGCTATGGAGAGTTAGCCATCTCTGTTGTCTTGGGGTATACTTTTGTATTTAGAAAACTTGATGGTTTAGCTGATGATTAGACGCAGTTTACAAAAGACATTTTGATAGTTATGATAATGATTTGGTCATTTCTTGACAGTATGCAATTGGCAGTGGATGTGCAGATTCCAGAATGTTTTGGAGGAGTGGCTGGTGAGGCAGTATTTATTGACACAGAGGGAAGTTTTATGGTTGATAGAGTGGCAACCCTTGCAACTGCCTGCATTCAACACCTTCGCCTTATATCAGGAGCACACACGGACGAAGGTGAGTTAGCACAAAATGCTCCTTCTGTACGAGAAAGACAGTTTGTATTTGTGCCATTTCAGACTTCAGTAAGAGGTTGTCCCAAACTTGAAGCTTCTGCCTAGTTAACAGTACTCTCCCTGAAGCCTAGCTGTCTGTGATCATTCTGCCTCAGTCTCCAGAATGCTGGGATAGCAGACCTGTGTCGTACCCAACTTAGCAGCCGTTGCTTTTTTAAATTTAATTAATTTTTTTTAATGGTTTTACAAGTCAGCGTTTCTCTGTGTAAGTCTTGGCTGCCCTGTAACTCACTTTATAGACCAGGTTGGCTTCAAACTCCCAGAAGTCTGCCTGCCAAACCTCCCAGGTGCTGGGATTAAAGTCGCTCAGCTCCACACTCCGCACAGCTCACGTCCTTCACCACTGAGTCACCTATCCAGCACGACAGATTTATTTTTATAAGTAATTGAGAAGGTAAGCATCTTGGCCAGTGCGAAGGCTCAGCAGCTAAAGGTGCTTGTCACCAAGCTTGATGATGGAATTTGACCTCTAGAACTGCTATAACAAAAGAAGAGAACTGAAAATTGTCCCCGGAAGTCCACAGATGCACTGTGGCGTTTGCATAAACAGGCACACACAGTTCATTACAAACAAAAACAGATTCTTTTTTTTTTTTTGTTATATCTTTTCAGTAGGAATTCTGGAAAGGTAGAAGACAAAATAATTCTGTCTAAAATGTCTTACCCATTCTGTCCTTGAAAGTCCTGTATGGACAGAAGATGTACTGAGGCACTGGGATATGAAGGCTTTAATGATTGGTGCATGAGAAAAACTAAAGGTTGTTTGTTTGTTTTGTTTTTTTTTACTAACTTAGTGTATATTGGAAGAAGCCAGAGTTTACTAACCTGAAGTCTAGTTCCCAGGATATCCTTGTACTGCTGTATGCCTGAGGATGATCTGGCGCTGAGCCTCCTGTCTCCTTTTCCCACCTGCTGGGACTGCAGCTGTGAGCTGCTGGGTGCAGATAATTTTTCTGTGATGTTTTGTTTTGTTTACTTTGTTTTGTTGTTTACTTTTGCAATGTTGGGGATCAAACCCAAGGCCTTGGAAATGTTAGTCAAGCACTCTATCACTGAACATCATTCCAGCCCGTTCTCTGTGAGTGAATCTCTGTACACACGCACTTGTGCATACACACGGGAGGGGTTGAACCAGGGCCCTGCTCAGAGCAGGCGAGCACCTCCCACTGCAGCCTCCTCTTGGTTTTGTTTTGTAATGTTATAGCATAAGTCGTTTTTTATTTGGCTTCTTGAGACAGGATCTTACTCTGTAACCCAGATTGGCCTGGAACTATGTAGGTTAGCTGGTCTGAAACTCCCAAGTTAAACAGTTTCTGACATTTGTTGATCTGGAGAGATGGCTCGGTGGTTAAAAGTACTACCTGCTCTTCCAGAGGTCCTGAGTTCACATCCCAGCAACACATAGCAGCTCACAGCCAACTATAATGGGATGTGCCTTCTTTTGGTGTGCAGACATACATGTAGACAAAGCACCGTATATATAAATATATAAATCTTTTTAAAAACATCTCATTTTACTTAGTGTGTATGCTCATGTGTGGAGATCAGAGAGAATTTGAGTTGTTCCTCCTACTGTGTGGATCCTAGAGATTGAACTCCGGTCATCTTGTCAGCCATCACAAACATCATAGGACAGAGAGAGTTCATTCATTAAAAGCTCTTGCTGCTCTTGCAGAGGATCTCGGTTTGGTTCCCAGCACCTCATGGAGGCACACAACTCTTCATAGCTCCAGTTCTGGCCTCAGTGGGCTCAAGGCACACACAAGGTGCACTTACATACACGCAAAACACCTAATCACGTTAAAATCTTTAAAAAAATACATTTTAGAATGTGGTAATTAGTTTCTCATTTCAAAGCCAAACTCGCTTTATTTTCTTTTATGTTTGGGTGTTTTGCCTGAATGTATGAATGCACTGTATGTGTACATTGCCTTTGGAGGCCAGAAGAGGGCATCAGATCTCCTCGGACTAGAATTACATTCTGTTGTGAGCTGCCATGTAGGTTCTAGGACTCAAACCTGGTTGCTCTGGAAGAACAGCCAGTATTCTTTCCTACTGAACCATCTTTCTAAGGACCCTCCCCGCTTTTTTAAAAATTTATTTATATTTTTTTAAACATGGCTGTCCCAGTACGTTCAGTGTAAACCAAGGTGGCCTTAAATTCTAAACCATACTTACTTTTTAAAACCATTCTAAACCATACCTACTTTTTAAAACCATACTGATGTTTTAAAATCCAGTGTTAAGATTTCATAGTGTTACTTCTCAAAGATTAGAGTGTTAAAGGGAAAATATACTCCATTGGGACATTTTTCTTTTAAAATCTTTTGTTTTAGCTTTTGTTTTTTGTTTTGTTTTATTTTCAATACAGGGTTTCTCTGTGTAGCCCTGACTGTCCTTGAACTCAGTTTGTAAATCAGGCTGGCTTTGAACTCAGAGATGTGCTTACCTCTGCCCACCAAGTGCTAGAATTAAAGGTGTGAGCCACATCCCTAGCCCCTGGATTTTCCTTTGAATTCTTAATTTGTATTCTTCAAAAACAAGAAAGAGAAACTTCAATCGTGATACTTCTGTTCAGTGGAAATCAATAGCTGGAGATAAACAGTAAGAATTTTGTTTATTTGTGAATAAATAATCCCTAGTTTATTACACATACAATCAAAGACAATAAAGTAAGTTTTGTTTTGAAATAAGAAACTAATTGTTGCATTTTAAAATGTATTTTTAAAAAATATTTTAGGGGGCTGGAGAGATGGCTCAGCGGTTAAGAGCATTGCCTGCTCTTCCAAAGGTCCTGAGTTCAATTCCCGGCAACCACATGGTGGCTCACAACCATCTGTAAAGAGGTCTGGTGCCCTCTTCTGGCCTGCAGACATGCACACAGACAGAATATTGTATACATAATAAATAAATAAATTAAAAAAAATACAAGAAAAAATATTTTAATGTGATTAGGTATTTTTGTGTACATATAAGCGCACCATGCCTGTACCCGATGTTCATGGAAACCAAAAGGTGACATCAGATCCCTTGGAACTGGTGCTATGGACGGTTAGGGTTAGGGTTAGCTGCTATGAGGGTACTGGAACCAAACCTGGGTCCTCTGCAAGAGCAGCAAGAACCCTTAATGAAACAGTAGAAAACATTAAAAACTAAATAATAAGATCAGCAGTCAACAAAGCACATTTTACAGAGATTCTTCAGTGTTTCTGTCATCTTTTAGATGTGATGTTGTTTTACAAGGGTACAAATAACGTATCTGTGATTGTCAGACAATTAGGAAAAGAAAATCTAAACTGTTTTCAGATTGCTTTGTTGTTTGTTTCAGAACATCAGAAAGCCTTGGAGGATTTCACTCTTGAAAATATCCTTTCCCATATTTATTATTTCCGTTGTCATGATTACACTGAGCTGCTGGCACAAGTCTATCTCCTTCCAGATTTCCTTTCAGATCACTCAAAGGTATCGGTCATACTACTGAAATAAAGTCTTTGGAAGTGTTGATAATTCAAAAATAAAGTGTAGTATAAACTTGATGTCCCTGCCCTGCAACTTACTTATTTTACTCTACTTTTTTGCGTATATATACTATATACATTGCAAAATATATATTCCTATGTATACGTTATGGGGTTTTTTTTGGTCTTGTTTTTTTGTTTTTGGGTTTTTAGACAAGGTTTCTCTGTGTAGCTTTGGAGCCTGTCCTTAAACTTGCTCTGTAGACCAGGCTGGCTTTGAACTCACAGAGATCGACCTATTCTGCCTCCCCAGTGCTGTGATTAAACATGTGTGCTACCACCGCCTAGCTTACAGGTTTTATTTTGTTTTTTTAGACAAGGTTTTTCTGTGTAGCGTTGTCTGTCCTGGAACTCACAACGTAGACCAGTCTGGCCTTGAGATTTATCTGCCTCTACTCTAGAGTGCTGAGATTAAAGGTGTGGGCCACACTGCTCAGCTGACTTTGAATTCTCAATCATTCTGTCTTCACTCAAGTGCCAGGATACAGGCTTTTGTTACCATATTCAGCATGTTTTATTTTTATTATTATTTAATTTTTTTTCTGAAACAAGGTTTCTTTGTGTAGCCCTGGCTGTCCTAGAACTTGTCCTGTACACCAGGCTAGCTTCAAACTCAGAGTTCCATCTGCCTCCACCTTCTGAGTGCTGTGATTAAAGGTGTGTGCCACCATGCCTGGCGTTTGTTCTATTTTTTTTTTAAATTTCAATTATTTCAATTGGTTTACCTCTCCTTAGTCACTCTCTCTGTTTCTTTGTTTTTGTTACGGCTCAAAGTTAAAGTCTGATCCGCGTGAGGCAAGTGTTCTACCACAGGTTCTCAGCTACTATTAGACTGTTTTGGTTACTATAGCATTGTAGTACATTCTGAAATTAGGAAACAAGATCCTCTTAACTTTGTTCTTTTAAAGATTTCTGTGCCTGTGTGGGGAGTCTTACAGTGAGTTTCAAGATTTCTGTGGCTGTGTGGGGTGTCTTACAGTGAGTTTGCTGTTGCTGTGACAACACACAGACATTTTGGTTGCAAAGGGTTAAGAGTCCATCATAGCAGGGAATCATAGCATCAGAGATGGCACAGCTGAGAGCTTACATATTTAACTGCAATCCAGAAGCAGAGAGAACAAACTGGAAATGGTACATGGCTTTGAAACCTCAAAACTTGTCCCCAGTGTTGTACTTCCTCTAGCAAGGCTATACTTCCTAAGCCTTACCAAAAAGCGCTACCAACTGGGAACCAAGTATTCAGATACTAGACTGGATATTCATTCAAACCACCACACCATATGATTTTTATGGTTAATTTTTTATTAATGTATATATGGGCATTTTGCTTGCATTTATATTGTGTACCATGTATGTGCAATGTCCACACAGGCCTGAAACAGGGCACTGGTTTCCTGGAACTGGAGTTAAAGAAGATTGTGAATTGCCATGTGGGTGCTATGAATTGAACTTGGGTCCTCTGGAAGAGCAGCCAGTGCTCTTAACTGCTGAGCCATCTCCAGCAACAGAAATGAAGCTCGAACCTTGCATGTGCATGCAATGCTAGTATTCAGGTGATGATTCATGTAGAATCATTGGGTGATGCTTTGCAGAAGAAAGAAAGCCTTTGAGGGCCGGAGAGATGGTTAAGAACACTGACTGCTCTTCAGAGTTGGAATGCCAACACCCACATAGTGGCTCACAACCATCTGTAAATTTGGTTCTAAGGGATCCCTTGCCCTCTGCTGGCCTTCACAGGTACTAGGCACAAGCATGGTGCACAGACATACATGGAGGCAAAACTAATACGCATAGAATAATAAAATGAATTTTAAGAGGAAACCTTTGAAGAATTAGAAATAAAACCCTAGGGTGAGGTATATAGCTCAGTAGTAGAGTGCTTACCATCTGTGGGCCACAGGTTTAATTCCTAGCATTATAAAAGAAAACTCTTTATTTTTATTTAATTTGAGTTAGAGTCTCACTGTATAGACCAGCCTGGCCTGAAACTCACCATCCTTCCTTCACCTTCTGCATGCTGAAATTATAGATATATACCACCATGCCTTTATTTTTAATTGTGCAAGTGACCGGAGGCCAGAGGAGAGCATTGGATCCCCTAAACAGATACCTGGAGTTATAGGAAGTTGTGAACTGCCTGACATGGGTACTAGGAACTGAACTTGCATCTTCTTTAAGAGCAATGTACACTCAACTGCTGAGCCATCTCTCCAACTGCATCAAAAATGTCCAGCTAGCAAGCTAGATGGCTTTCTTTTTTTTTCTTTTTTGATGAGGAGTTGTTTTTCCCTCAAACAAGCTTTCTCTAACAGTCCTGGCTGACCCGGATCTTGCTTTGTAGACTAGGTTGGCCTCAAAAAGAGATCTACCTGTCTTTGATTCTCGAGTGCTGGGATTAAAGGCCTGTGCCACCCCACCCAACTTGATTTCTTTCTTTTTTAAGCCCTCAGTTTTAAGGTTTATTTCTGTAATGGGATATGTTTATTGTAATTGTAACTCCAAACCCAATTTCATTCTCCTGTGTTTAGGTGCAGTTAGTGATAATCGATGGCATTGCTTTTCCTTTCCGTCATGACTTTGATGATCTGTCCCTTCGTACGCGGTTACTGAATGGCCTAGCCCAACAAATGATCAGCCTCGCAAACAATTACAGATTAGCTGTAAGTATTATTAGTCAAAAGAATTTTATAGCTAAGACTGTATGAAATATTAATGTCTGGCTGGGCAGTGGTGGTGATGCACACCTTTAATCCCAATACTCGGGAGGCAGAGCTAGGTGGGTCCCTGAGTTCGAGGTTAACCTGGTCTACAGAATGAGTTCCAGGACAGCCAAGGCTGCACAGAGAAACCCTGTCTTGAAAAACAAAACAAACAAATTGATGTTTACATTTATACATATTTTGCATGAGTAGATTAGACCCAGAGCTTCATGCACGGTAGGCAAATTATATGTGAATCAAAGAGTGCAGGGTTACCTGTTTGCCATTAATTTTCACTCTGCAACCACATCCTCCCATTGACAAAAATGCACTTGTCAGAAGAGAGACAGGAGATAAAAATGCTGAGTTACCCTGGGTTTTTTTTTAACCTTTTTTTTTTAACCTTTTAAGGGAAATTGTTAGCACATGCCTGTGATACACCAAATGTAAATAAAAAAACTTCCTCTGTGAAATAAACCACACACTTTTTCTTTGTGTTTCCAAATCTTAGTCTTTTTAAAAGAATTTTTATGGATTTATTATATATACAGTGTTATACCTGCAGGCCAGAAGAGGGCACCAGATCTCATTACAGATGGTTGTGAGGCACCAGGTGTTTTCTGGGAATTGAACTCAACCTCTGGAAGAGCAGTCAGTGTCCTTAACCTCTGAGCCATTTCTCTAGCCCCCTCTGTTTTTTTTTTTTGTTGTTGTTTGTTTGTTTGATTTAAATGTTTTTTGAGATAGGGTAGCTTTGGAGCCTGTCCTGGAACTCCCTTTGTAGACCAGGCTGGCCTCGAACTCACAGAGATCCACCTGCCTCTGCCTCCCGAGTGCTGGGATTAAAGGCATGTGCCACCACCGCCCGGCTTTTTTTTAACCTTTTAAGGGAAATTGTTAGCACATACCTGTGATACACCAAATGTAAATAAAAAACTTCCTCTGTAAAATTTAAACCATACGTTTTTTCTTTGTGTTTCCAAATCTTAGTCTTTTTTAAAAAAAAAAGTTTTGGATTTATTATATATACAGTGTTATACCTGCAGGCCAGAAGAGGGCACCAGATCTCATGATAGATGGTTGTGAGCCACCAGGTGTTTTCTGGGAATTGAACTCAGGACGAGCAGTCAGTGTTCTTAACCTCTGAACCATCTCCAGACCCTCTGTTTTTTTTTTTTTTTTTTTTTTGTGAGCCACCATGTGGTTGCTGGGAATTGAACTCAGGACCTCTGGAAGAACAGTCAATGCTCTTAGCCTCTGAGCCATTTCTCCAGCCCCCACTGTTTTTTTTTTTGTTTGTTTGTTTGTTTTAAATGTTTTTTGAGATAGGGTAGCTTTGGAGCCTGTCCTGGAACTCACTCTATAAACCAGACTGGCCTCAGACTTACAGACATCTGCTATCCTCTGCCTCCCAGTGCTAGGATTAAAGCCAGTTCTCTCCACTATGTTTTCCCAGAGATCAAACCTAAGTTGTCAGACTGCATGGAAAGTGCCTTTACCCACTGAGTACCACTTTACCATCTTACCATATCTTGCCATATCCTTTTTGCTAAAGCATAGTGCCCTTTGAATTATTTCTTACTGCTAATTGGAATTTAGCATCCTTAGTGCTGGTATCCTGAAGATCCCCCAGTAGAGGGCACCCAAGACAAATAGGCTGCAGAATGCTACAGTTTCCTAGGTTATGGTGGGTTTTTCTTGTTCTGTTATTTTGCTGCTGCTGGTGCTGCACCTCTAGCCCAAGACTTCAGACATACTACACAAACACTCTGCCATTGAAGTATGTCCCCTGCCCTATTTTAAGTTAGCCCTTTCTCTTTTATATATATAAGTTTTTGTTTGTGTGTTCACATGGAGACCCATGTACACGTGTGCATTTGCCTGTGGAGCCCAGAGGTCAGCACTATTATCCTTCTCAGTCGCTCTCTGCCTTAGTTAGGTTTTTTTGTGTTTGTCTGGTTTTGGTTTGTTTGTTTTTTGAGTCAGGGATTTTCTGTTGTAACCCTGGCTGTCCTAGAACTCACTCTATAGACCATGCTGTCTTTGAACTCAGATCCACCTGCCTCTGCCTCCCAAGCACTGGGATTAAGAGTATTCACCACCACTGCCTGGTGTTTTTTCTTTTAAGTCTTTTGTATGTGCATGGGTGCTGTACCTGCATGTATGTCTGTGTACCGTGTCAGTGCTGTGTGCAAGGAGGCCAGAAGAGGGCATTGGATCTACCAATACTGGGATTAAAGATGGTGGATAGTGGCTTGGGTTTTTGTTTTTTCAGGGCTCTGAAATTCAGGACTTTGAATTCACTATACATCTAAGGATGACCCTAAATTCTTACCCTTTTTAAATTTTTTTGGAGACAAGGTCTTACTATGTAGCTCTGTCTGTTCTGAAACTCGTGTCCCCAGGCTGGTATCAAACAGATCTTTTTGCTCCTGCCTCTACCTCTAAAGTGCTGGGATTAAATGAATGTACCGCTATGCCTTGCTGTCTTACCTTTATATTGCTGTGACAGAAGTACCATGACCAAGGCAAATTGGAATACTTTATGTATTTTTGTTTTTATATCCCTACCAAAGTTTCCCCTTCCTCCTCTCCTCCAGTGCCTCCCTGACCAAGGCAGTTTATAAAAATGTATAAGATATGCCAGGTGGTGGTGGCTCACGACTTTAATCCCGGCATTTAGGAGACAGAGGCAGGCAGATATCTGTGAGTCTGTGGCCAGCCTGGTCTACAGAGCAAGTTCCAGGACAGGCACCAACACTACAGCAAAACCCAATCTTGGAAAAACCAAAAAGAAAAAAAAAGCATTTAAAGGTATGGCATTATGGCTTGCTTCTCCTTACATGCTAGGACCAAAGGAATGTACCACCCATATTTGGCTAAAATTTTTATGTTATTTTTTGAGATAGGTCTATCTATCCCTGGTTGCCCTTCAACTCTCTATATAGACCAGGCTGGCCTCAAACTCATAGAGATATATGCCTGCCTCTGTCCCCAAGTGCTGGGATTAAAGGCATATGCTACTAGGCCCCAAGATTTGAATTTTAAAAAGTGTAGGGTACCAGAGAGATGGCTCAGTGAATAAAGTATTTGCTTTGGTAGCGTGAAGACCTGAGTTCAATACCCCAGCACCCATATGAAAGCCAAACATGACACTACACTCCTGTAATCCCAGCATTGTGAAGGTCAGGGCACGGAAAGGATTTCTTTTCTTTTCTTTTTTTTTAAAGATCTATTTATTTATTATGTGTACAGTATTGTCAGTATTCTGTCTGCATGCCAGAAGAGGGCACCAGATCTCATTACAGATGGTTGTGAGCCACCATGTGGTTGCTGGGAATTGAACTCAGGACCTTTGGAAGAGCAGGCAGTGCTCTTAACCGTTGAGCCATCTCTCCAGCCCCGGAAAGGATTTCCACAGGGGATTCTTTGGTTTTGCCAGCCAGCCAGCCCAACTCAGAGAAGAATCCTAGATTCAATGAGAGACCCTGTCTTAAGAGAAAAAAAAAAAAAGGCCTGGAGTTGGTAGAACATGCCTTTAATCTCAACACTTGAGAGGCAGGGGCTGGTGAATCTCTTGAGTTTGAGGCCAGCCTGGTGGTCTACAGAGTAAGTTCCAGGACAGCCAGTTAAAAAGAAAAACCCTGTCCTAAAAAATGAAAAATAAATAAAAGAATAAGAATTCGTTGTTCCTTCAGATTTTTCTTATCATGTTTTCTGATAACACATGTTTGCAGGTAAGTACAGAAAATTTTTATTTTTTTTATATATATAAATGGAACATTTTTTTTATTGAGAAAAGGAGAAAAAAGGAAAAAAAACAAGTTTCCACCTCCTCCCAGCCTCCCATTTCCCTCCCCCTCCTCCCACCCTTCTCCCCTCCTCCCACCCTTCTCCCCCTCCCTCTCCAGTCCAAAGAGCAGTCAGGGTTCCCTGCTCTGTGGTAAGTCCTAGGTCCTCCCCTCTCCGTCCATTCCTAGGAAGGTGAACATCCAAACTGGCTAGGCTCCCACAAAGCCAGCACATTATGTAGGTTCAAAACCCCGTGCCATTGTCCTTGGCTTCTCATCAGCCCTCATTATTCGCCATGCTCAGAGAGTCCAGTTTTATCCCATGCTTTTTCAGTCACAGTCCAGCTGGCCTTGGTGAGCTCCCAATAGATCAGCTCCATGGTCTCAGTGGGTGGGTGCACCCCTCATGGTCCCGACTTCTTTGCTCATGTTCTCCCTCCTTCTGCTCCTCATTGGGACCTTGGGAGCTCAGTCCAGTGCTCCAGTGTGGGTCTCTGTCTCTATCTCCATCCATCACCAGATGAAGGTTCTATGATGATATGCAAGATATTCGTAAGTATCACTATTGGATAGGGTCATTTCAGGTTCCCTATCCTCAGCTGCCCAAGGAACTAACTGGGGACCTCGGCTTGGGCATCTGGGAGCCACTCTAGGTTCAAGTCTCTTGCCAACTTTAAGGTGGCTCCCTTAACTAAGAATTGTGCTTCCGTGCTCCCCTATCTAACCTTCCTTTATCCCAATCCTCCTTTTTCCCCAAGTTCCCCCCATTCTCCCCTTCTCCCTTTTCTCTCCCCATCTCCCCTTACCCCCATCCCACCCCACCCCCAAGATCTCAATTTTCTCCCCGGCAATTTTGTCTACTTCCCATAGCCAAGAGGACAACTATATGTTTTTCCTTTGGTTCACCTTCTTACTTAGCTTCTTTGGGATCACCAATTGTAGACTCCATGACCCTTGTTTATGGCTAGAAGCCAATTATGAGTGAGTACATCCCATATTCATCTTTTTGGGTCTGGGTTACCTCACTCAGGATAGTGTTTTCTATTTCCATCCATTTGCATGCAAAATTTGAGAAGTCATTGTTTTTTACCGCAGTGTAGTACTCTAATGTGTAGATATTCCATACTTTCTTCATCCATTCTTCCATTGAAGGGCATCTAGGTTGTTTCC